TCAGCTTCAAACAGGAAAAAACTGAATGTATTAGTTTTAAAATAACTTTGGAAAATATATTTTGTTTGTTTTAAAACTATATTCTAAAATCCGAAATATACTTATTTTGCATTAGCTTACAGAATATCACAAATTTATAAACTTACAAATAAAAGAAACCGAGTTTTAGTAACAAGAGTAAGATCTGCATGAATGTAAATACATAAAATCCACAATTTTATTAATATTTAATGTTACATAGCTTATTTTTCATAGTTTTTAAAATGCTTTAAATTTCAGCATAGTAAAAAATAAAATTATTTTTAAAATCTATAAAAAAATTAAACGTAATAAATGTTATTCAGACACTAGGTTTTCATCTGCATGTTAACAAAAAAAAATAAATATTACTAACCATTTGCTAACTTGGTAAATGTAGGTAAGAACATTACACAAAATTAATACTGAAAATTACTTCTCTTTCTTTGCCCTTCATCTGAAAATAAGTTATATAATAATGCATTTTTTTAGAAAAGCAACTAGGTAAAAATATTATTTAGTAATAAATACTATTAATTATTTATAATAATGTATATTGTATTGATCTGGGAAAATATATAGATCTATTTCACGTTTTTTTCCACAATTCTTTGTGGTTAGCAAGATATTTAATTCTTTATCAAAAGGTTTATAACTATGAATGTAGAGGTTGAAACTCCACCCTTTATAACCAACACGAAATAATTGTTTTAAGACAGGGAACTTCACAAAAGAACAGAGGCGTAGCGAAGGGGGAGGTGCCGGGGAGGCGGGCCGCACCATTTAGGGGGGGGGGGGGTGACACCAAGGCAAAAAAAATTCTAAATATACTGAAGAAAAATGACTTTTTTGCCAGTTCCATTAATAATTAGTTAAAGTTAAATAGTCTTTTAAGTACAAATGGACAATTACTACGAGGGGGGTGGGGGGGGTGGATGACACCACGAAGTAAACGAGCTAACTATAGAGAAAACAATGCTACATCCAACTGTATTATTTACAGACTATAGATAAACATCGTTACTATTAAGTCTGCAGTGTTTAAAGCTTATACATACACATATACGCGTATGTGGCATATATTTAAATTATATGCTTATGTAGGCCGACACACACACACACGATAAAAATTTAGTTACATTTGTAAAAATTGAAGCCGTTTGGAAACCATCGATTGCACTCTGTTTTATATCTTTGTATCGAATATAAGCAGTTGAAAAACAGTTTGTAATTATTTTATCAATTGCCCTCAACCTCTCCTTGAAGTCAAACGGAATGGCCAGAGAGAGTAAAACAATAAAAGTCAGAACAATTGTTTTCCATGATAAAAATACACTATAGTGATCTATTGTCTAACTATATGGTAGTATTGTATTTATATTAAACTAGAATACCCGTCATCCGTTGGATAACTGTGGGTTTCGGGGGTCATCCATCAAAAAACATCACGTCTGTCACTCAGAGGCATAGCGACCCTTCCCGGCGCCCGGGGACAAAGTTTTCGATTTGAACCCCCCCCCCCTCAAACTTTTGATGTGCACCCCCCCCCCCCACTCAAACTTTCGATTTGAACCCCCCTCAACCTATCAATTTATTTTTCCAAACCATTTTGGCGCCCCAACATATGCCCCCCCCCCCTTCCCCCTCCCCACCCCCCCGCCTCCCCTTCCCCCCCCCCACCCCCCGCCTCCCCTCCCCACCCCCCCGCCTCCCCTCCCCTACCGTCCCCCCCTCCTCGGTACGCTACTGCAGTGTCACTTATCGTCACAAAAAACAGACCCCACATTCAAATATATGTTTTTTATCTTTTAAAAACACCGAAAACACCGATTTCGGACTATCCCTTCATAAACTGACGTCACAGGTGACCTACTCAACTCTACTTCACCTGCCCAGTGTCCTGCCAAGTCTCAGACAACATGTTTTTATCGTTTAAAAAACAATTCCAGCCGAGCATGTATCTGACCACACTATCCTTTCATATGCTTAGGACAAAGAAACAGATGAACTCTACTTCACCTGCCCTGTATCTTGCCAAGTTCAGATAGGCAACGTTATCATTCACATCTAAAAAAAAAAATTGAAAAAAAAAATTTCATTGACATATTGGTCTAGAACCCGTGCCTCCTGCATGAGAGCTGACTACGCTACCATTTTAGCTATTTACTCGTGACGTCACAAGTGAATTTTTATACTATACTATGTATCTCCTTATGCAACTTGATTTACGGCGTATAGATTCTAGATCTAGATCTAAAAATAAGTCTAGTAGTACTAACTTTCAAATTAAATTTTATCTTAAATAAGCCAAACAAAGATTTATATAAAATAATTAAGGCCTGAAATAGATTCTAGATGTAGAATTTACATTAAGTCTAGATCTAGAATTTACATAGAAACCTAGTGACCTACATCTAGGCTAGATCTAGATCTAGGCTAGATTCATAAATTTCCTTCGATAGCTGATCTTTAGATCTAGAGAAATTTATTGTAAAACTAAATGAAAAAGACAGTTGAACATTGATATAAGTGTTGGAACGTAATAAATACAGAAAACGGACGTATTGTTAAAGTTATGACCGACAGAAAATTAGATTTAGAACGCGTTAAACTTGTGAATGGGAACACAATTTTCTTCGATAGACGCCGCCATTTTATTGTACTAAAGAGTAAACAAAAACCTGTGACGTCACGGTCCCGCCGAGTCTAGTGGCTTTTCAAATATTTTTAAAAAAAATGGGTTAATCTGCATATGAATAAATCAATTAATTAATTAACGTCTTTAAATAAATTTGTGATCAACAGTCTGTCTGCATTAAAAAATTATTCTCTACCTGCATACCATTTTACAGCTTTCCAGATAGAGTCGAACATATCACAATTTTCGATCAGGCAAACAAATAAATATTCAAACATGTAAACAAAGTTGACTTTTAGTAGTATATAGATAATATAACATCCCCAATCACCACAACACCCTGACTCTACTTATCCAAATTAAAAAAAAGTGCTTTCTAAATTACTGTTATATTACTAGTAATGATTTATTTGACCATTTCTAGCCTTATTGAAACTATAAGTAATTTTGTACTTATTACACAAATGTACAAAGAATTCAATTTTGGTTGAAAAATATGCTTTCTGGCAACAAAAATTTTGAACCAATTGGAACCAGCTTTTCAAGTTTATTAAATGTTAAATCTATTAATATAATATGCATTCTAGAACAGATGCTGATTGTAAGAATGGACGTACTTTTAAAAGTAGATAGAGCCTAGAAAAAAATCTTTATCTAGAATTTAACAACTAAATCTAGAAACCGAGATTGATGAACAAATGTTTGGATATTTGGAACGTTTCAGTTTTCGATAAAACATCATATTTTTAAGAATTGATTATTGAGGTAATCTAGATCAAGATGACGCATGCACCATAAAAATGTGTGGCCAAATTTTACCGATATTTAGTGCAACTTTTATGTAGCGGTTTTTTTTTTAATTCTTTTTTTTTAAGTTTGTTGCATGATGACTCATATAATACAGAAAATATAAATGTGTGTGTGTTAGTGAGTGTGGCGTGTGTGCGTGTGAAAGGGGAGGGGCAGTCAATTTGTTCGTTGGTTTATATTTACTTGTAACAAATGAATCATGTCAAAAAACGTGTAGGTAAAGTTGATTTTCACATTTAAATGGGAGTGACGCGAAATTACTTAATGTTTTAGTTCATCTTTGGGGTCGTCCATAAATGACGTCACAATCGTAGGGGGAGGGTGGTACGTAGTTTTGTGACGGTGTGCTATGAGGGGGATGGAGGGGGGTTCAGATGGTGTGATGTCACACTTTTGTATTATTTAAAAAAGCAATGTTAGAAAACGAGTTTTAGCCGATATTTCGCGTTTTAGAAAACTGTTTTAATAAAATTTTATAGGAATTGATTTAAATACTCTATGTTGACAGAGTTCAGACAAGATTTTTTTAAAATATTGATGTTTTAAAAAAATGCAACTGCAGTTTTGAGAGGCGGGAAAGGGGGTAGTAGGCTGAGGTATGACGTCATTTTAGGGGGTCTTGTTTTTTGTGATGATGTGTGACGGAGGGGAAGGGAGAGGTAAAAATCGTCAAAAAGCGTGACGTCATTTATGGATGACTCCCTTTGGTAGAGAGGGGGGGGGCCTAAAACCTGGATTACCACATCGGTTTTTCACCCTACCAAGTGACGCCACTGTGCATCAGTTATTTTATTCAAAGCGCCGCAGTCATATTACAAAGTGTTAACATTTTAATCTTTTATCCAGCCGCATCTGTCTGTTTAGTACGCCGCATTTAGTTAATCCAAGATCGTGACCCGCGCTGACTAAAATCAATCGGTTGGATTTGTATCAAACTAAGCCGCACATACTTCGCGAAGTCTGCGCCTTTTATATCTAGATCAATATTTGTGTTGGTGTGCAAAAGAAGGAAAACTTTCTCCATTTCGCTTCTATTGATTTTCTTAACGCGCCACAGATAGTAGGCCTACACCAACTATTGACAGCTTCGAATTAGGCTGTTTGATGTTTACTATAGTACGAAAAAGGCTGTTACTAGATTTTAGAAAAGGTGTGTGTGGGGGGGGGGGGGGGGGGGAGGGGGTTATTGATGGTAAGGGAGGTCGAGTTTAGTAGTAAGGCGTTATAATGCTAAACGTTCACAAAAGTTGACACAGTTGTTTACCGGTTATTAATAATGTTTGTTTTGTAGCGGCTTTCTCGCCTTAGACAAGTCGGACCGCGGGGCAGATGAAGTAGAGATCATATGAGATCAGTAATGTCCACAGATCAGAAGCCCATTAGAGCAGAATTTGATTCAGAAATTTTCTACTGTCAGAACCCCATTAGGGCTGGGTAGACTCAACAATGTCCAACGGTCAGAACCCCATTAGGGCTGGGTAGACTCAACAATATCCAACGGTCAGAACCCCATTAGGGCTGGGTAGACTCAACAATGTCCAACGGTCAGAACCCCATTAGGGCTGGGTTGATTCAACAATGTCCAATGGTCAGAACCCCATTAGAGCTGAGTAGGCTCAGTGATATTCCACGTACTCTAATCCTTGATCTGAACTCGAGAATTTTGAGTTAGACTTTGTGCACTCTACCGTCCGACCACAACGTCCAGTGAATACAACAACGTAAATCAGCGTCAATCTTAACTTTAAAATAAATCGGACACAAACACCGACGCGTACAACGAACGATACAGAACGACCACACTGTTTTGAAAACATAAAGAGCGGTTACCCTCTAGGGCACCTCATCACAATTCACAATTGATTTTTATAATTTGATAATATAAACAAATACAAGTACGACAAGCCATAGAAAACCTATTTTCTTTGAAATATTGATATCATTGCGAATAAAAATAGTTGTCTTTGTTCAAGAAATGCTAGGCGATTGTTTTCTAGTGTTGTAATATCAATTATTTTTACGTTCGTAGCAAAGAACGTTTGAGAATTTTATCGTTATTTTAGTTTTTAATAGCCATTGAGACCGTTAACATTTGAAGTTATTTTAAACATTTCAGTTAGATCTACATCGTTTTTCGAGGTTTTCAACCTCGAAAATATATTCTTCTAGAAATGTCTTTTAAACGATTTAAACTTTATCTACTTGTTTTAGAGATAGGCGCTATACTTCACATTTTAAACTTGTCATTTTGCTTCGGATTATTGCATTCAATAAATATAACGGTCGCCATAAAACGAATTAGATGGTAAACTTTCTAAAGTAACGACCGAAAAACTACTTGAAAAATGTTTAGTATGGGGCGGAAATTACATTTAGATTCTTATGGGTCAATATGGCCAGGACAATTTGATCGCGTTCAAGCAATATTTGATTTTTAGTTTTAAATAACAGGGAACTAAAAACTTATAAACATTGAAAATAAATATATAATTTTATTTTCAAAGAGTAACAATGAAGAGGCTGTAAATAAACCAGCCTCAAAATATCAAGTAAGCGTAGGAAAGTTTTATTTAAAAGCTGAATGTTGTAATAATTTTGATGTAAAATTGTATAGGTAATGTTGCTCTCTTGGGTCCATAAGTTATTCGGAGATAAGGGGTCTGATTCAGGAGCAAAATAAAACGCGTTGACATCTTTCTTTCGAGATTAATCTGTTATTTTTCGTATAGAGTACTAACACGGATTCCTCTTTGGACCTAGAGATCCACTGGGTAGATGAAGTGGAGTTTATATGTTTCTTGACCTCGGCTTATGAATTGATGGCTTGATCAGCACTAAGCCCAACTTACTTTTCTTATCCTAACTTGAGTTTGGTACCCATCAGATCTAAGTAGATTCAATGACGTTCTACTGACTTGAAACCGGACTCAAACTCGAGACGTTCGGGTAAGCAGATTAGCTCTCTACCACTAGGCCACTCCGTCCCAAAACAGAGTACTGGTATCGTAAAAAATGCTACATTATTTTACTATGGAATATATTAACATGTAAAGGTACAGCAGCTGTTATGTTTTTCGGTATTTCAGATGTGCTTTTGGTGTCATTATTTAACAGTTGTGCAGTTCCCTCAATTTTTCTCAGGCATTACGTGCAGACTGAGCACCAGCTTAAACATGGGGGTAGGGGGGATTTTCAAACAGCATACACTTCTTTAAAAACCACTGCTGTTAATGGCAGAATAAATGTGGCAAAAAATACATCAAACATGCATTGAGCTTGATAGCTTATCCGTTTTTCAACTTATTGATGTGATTATAATGGACGAAAAAATAAATTACCAACACAGAAGAATTTTTTTTTTTTTTTTTTTTTTTTACAAACTGGTTTAATCCGTGAACGAAATCTACAATTTTTTTAACTCGGCAGTTCGACTTTTTTTTCTGTAAGAATTAGAGATATTGTCGAAGTAAATAATTTGTTTTTCCCATATCAATATTTTGAAACTGTTTTTAAAGACCATTATTACAAAATGTACTGGCGGTATTTTTAAATAATGTATCGCGATCGTAGCTTAGGTACAAAAATGTCTTCCTAATGGGCGTTTGTTTTAATATTTCGTTTGTGCTTTCATCATAAATCGTTAAACTTTAAAAATCCGACTAGATTACTAAGGGATTAAAACTTACAAAATCCTAAATAGGCTTAAGTAGCTTTACTGTTTTCACAATCAGTTTTTATGTTTGTATTTAGTGACTGAATATTTTTCTGAAAATATAAGGCAACCGATGTAATTAAAGGGCTACAGAGGAGTCGGTAAAGCTCATGGTTGCTAAACCGAAAAGTCTCGAGTTCGAACCCTCGGGCAGATGAGGCTCGTAAGCTGAAGACTAAAATCAAACAACTGCTGCCTTGTAGTTTGTTCTTGGTTGGACAAAGGCTATAGAAGCAAATCCAAAAAGAAAAGCATGCTAAAATCGGAGTCAATGGCCTCAATGGCGCATAACCAGTTGACACGTATCCTTAATTGTGTTGGAGGCGTGGTCGAGTCGGCAAAAAACTCATGGTTGATAAATTCGAAAAAAGTCACGAGTTCAAACTCTCTGGCAGATAAGGCTTGATCCCTTCCAACACTAAAAATTAAAAACGAAGAAGAAGAAGAAGAAAGAGCTAAAATCCAACAATTAATTTTGTCTTAAGTGACTGAATATTATTATGATAATATGAGGCAAACTCTAAAATTAAAGCACTAAAATACAATAATTTCTTGTCACTAAGAATATCTGTAGGAAAAATAAGAACTTCTCCATACAAATCTTATAGTAATGTTTTTACTGATTCAAATTTTAAAATAAAATAATTATTTTAAATCACATGACCATGTTTGTTGTCATTTTCAGTGATAAAAATTATACACAAACACATTTTTTGGCTTTTTAAAAAAATTTCTGTAGTTACCGAAAATGCTAAAAACATCAAATACATCTACTCTTTAGTAAAATCAAACAAAAACAAAACAGTCAGATTTTTATAAACATATATATTCTAGTAACATCTTACATGATTTTTTAAATATTTAACGGGCCTTTCGATTAATTTCGAGACTATTCTCGGTTAGGTCCATTCGCCCAAATATTACACCAACAGTACAATTCGTAACATGTATACTATTTGCTTGTACGTCTTCTTATCAATTAAGGTAACACAACTGAAATATAATAAACCTTGAGGTTCCCCAATATATAATCTAGGGATATATTTTATTAATAGTAGATTCAGTCATAAATGTTTGGGGATGCATTTTTAAACCAGCTTATATTTACATTTCATAAATTTGTTTGATACTATTTTAATAACTGCCTTGGCACAAGGGGTGTCTTTTTAGGAATAATTTAAAAATAGAAAGGCGAAAAGACCTATTTTAATATAGTGTATTTTTGTTTTTGCATTAACAGTGCTGATATTAGGCATAATCCTATATTAAGCTATGTAAAAAATGCATTGTTTGTCTGCTTCCAATCAGTAGCGTAGCGAGGGGGGGGGGACATATGTCCCCGGGCGCCGAGCTTAGGGGGCGCCAAAATGGGTTGGAAAAATAAATCGAAAAATTGAGGGGGGTGGAAATCGAAAGTTTGTGGGGGGGGGGTGCAAATCGAAATCTCGAGGGGGGGTGCAAATCGAAAAGTTTGTCCCCGGGCGCCGGGAAGGGTCGCTACGCCTCTGCTTCCAATGGTTTCATAGATATCACTTTAACAATGATAAAGTAAATTGTCTTTTTATTTCAGAGTACACACAGCATAGTGACAATAACAACCGTATTATCTGCAACTTATCTGACTTGTCTGAGCCCAATTCTCCCTCACTGAAAAGACAACCTTTCGACATGGACAACCACAGCCAGGCCACTCCGCCAACCACAGCGGTGTCGGTCACCGAGATAGTGCACTACAACGAGCTGGTGCTGGAGATGAACTTTTTCCTCAACACCATCATCATCCACATCGTCTGCCTCTTCGGCGTGCTGGGCAACACCTTCACCTTGGTCGTCCTGACCCAGCACGGGTTCAAGGACGCGACCAACATCCTGCTGCTGTCGCTGGCGGCCTCCGACCTGGTGTTCTCTGTCACCACCAGCATGTCGTACATGTACAACATCGTCAAAATCTTCGACATGGATTTCGCCAGCAGCATGTACGCCGTGTACGTCACACACATCCTCCCCGTGCACGGGCTCAGCAGTGTCGCCAGCTTCATCTCCGTGGCCGTTATCTCTGTGGAGCGGTTCATCGCCGTCTGGTTTCCTTTTCACTCCACGCGAATCGTCACGCCTAAACGGATGAAAATCGTCGTCGTTTCTGTTTACGTCTACTTAACAATTCTCATCTTACCCGATATTTTCTGCTACCAGTTTGGGTGGTATTTTCACCCGCTTCAAAACAGAACATTCGCACAGGTGTATAAGACCAAATTCTACGAAGAAAACGAAGACGTCTTAGAATTTTATTTCTGGATGTTCAGGAACAATTTCACGTCAACTCTACCTTTAGCCATCGTCATCGTATGCACGACGATGATCGTCGCCAAACTCATTTCATCGTCCAAAAAACGAAAACTCATGACGTCACATCACGTCACCGCGAACAAGGTCAAGGATAAACGTGTGGTCAAGATGCTGATGGTGGTGTCGCTGACCTACATCGCCATTTTGTTGCCCACGACCATCATGGATTTGTACATGGCTATAGCCGACCCCGCCCGTATCGTCATCAACGTGCTAGTGTTTATACAGAACTTGCTGTATCAGATCAACGCGTCGGTCAACTTTGTCATTTACGTCACTACGAGCTCCAAGTTTTATCAGACGTACAAGAACATATTTTTACATTGCTCGTGTTGTAAGTAAACAGATGCTCGGATGTTATGGGAAAAAAATTTAAAAAAAAAATAAATCTAAGTGAAGATAATTTGTCATTACTATTACAAAATAATAAATAAAAAACGATTTAATAAAATGACAGGTTGGTAGCCAGCTAATCAGAGATGTGGATTTTAAATTGTGTGGTCTGCCTTCTGCTTGAATTTTGAATTGTCGATAGATATTTTAGAACATTTCAATACAAAAAAATCTAATTAAATGAAGATAATTTGTTATCACTATTACAAAAAAATAAATTTAAAAAAATGTAATAAAATGGCGGGTTGTTATCCAGATAATCAGATACGTGGATTTTGAATTGTGTCGTCACGCTTTGCCCTCTGCTTGAATTTTGAATTGTCGATCGATATTTTTGAACACTCCGCGATATGCTAAAGTCGTGATAAAATGAACCGGGAAGTAACGAGAGATGACTGTACATGATGTGAATTTATAAAAGGGTGAATAACGTTGTTTATCATACCTATATGGTTCAATTTTCAATGTGAAGTTTGTTACAAAGTTGACAGTTCTTCGTGTGATATATTCAGTTAATTTTCGTTTGAGCGGAAAGATTTATGAATGCGAGTTTGTGGAGAAACGGTGGAGGAGTGTGTATGAAAGGGGGGGGGGGGGGCAGGAAACACCGGTTAGTAAACAGCACATCACTAGAATGGAGTCTAAAAATAAAATGAAAAACAAAAAAGCCCTAATATAATTTAGGGTTAGGTTTGTTGAAAAGAAAATTACTGTTAGAAAAACGTTACTACACCTATTCTTTTAGACTAGACATTGTATTTTTTGGGGATAGGATAAAAATTACAGCAATAAATATAATCAATGTTAAACAACTGCTGCCTTGTAGTTTTAATCTTGGATAGACAAAAGCTATGGAAGCTAATTCAGAAAGAAAATCATGATAAAGTCGGAGTCAAAAGCCCATATGACGCATAACATGTTGACAAGTAACATTTAATGGGTCTTTGGAGGAAATACCCTCTATATTACAATTATGAACGGAGCAAAACAAGTTTGAAAGATAAATGAGAGAAAGTGGTTTTTCATGAAATACGTTTTTTTTTTAAATCAGCCACACATCGCGTTAACAGATGAACCGGATAATCTCTTTGTAACCGACTGTTCCTTATCAACGTATGATATGAACCGGATAATCTCTTTGTAACCGACTGTTCCTTATCAGGATTGATTTGACTTAAGGACAAAGACGTCACATCTACACTAATCCTACTCTTTTCAATTCTTACGGCCTACATACAATCAATGACAATCGTTACTGGGAAAAAAATATTCATCTTAAATCCTAGCATTTTGGTGTTATAAAAGTTATTATTACACTGTCTCTCCCCCCCCCCCCACCCTCACCTTCCTCTGCCCTAGGCATGTATACCGACCCCGCCCTGGACGTATTATATAAATATTATATATATATATATATATATATATATATATATATATATATATATATATATATATATATATATATATATATATATATATATATATATATATATATATATATATATATATATATATATATATATATATATATATAAATTCTTAAAACAGCGTTCGCCCCCATCCCAAACCTCCCACGAAATTTAAAGTACTCCTCCCAGTAGCTTTAAGCGCCACTTTCCCTCAAAAGGATCAAGTTTTTTTTTATAAATTAAATTCGACATTTACGGATCATATTATTTTGAATAAAAAATTTCGCTGAGTTGAAGGAAATTCCTGCATAATTTGGGTATGGATTTATTTATTTCGAACGCATGACCTCACTACCATTTTTATAGGTTTTCTATCATTTTTTTGCAGACGGTAAAATCAGGTCTGGTAAGCCGAAATCACATTTGTGAGCCTTCGAAAAAATTATTACCGTAATTTTATAATATTATTACAGTAAACCTTCAATATTATAACCTTAAATATACAACAAAGTAAAGAAAATGTAAAAGATTTTCAATAGAGCAGGTGAAGTAGAGTTTACTTGATTACCTGATTTTTGACAAATGAAAGGATAGAAATTATATATCATTACTATCTAAATCTATATTGTTATATATTGAAGCTTATATGTGACAGTTTTGGCAACAATAGTAACTATTCTAATAAAACCATTTCAAATTCTTTGTTTTTAAATTTGTTACAGTTTTGTCGTATAAAATAAAAAATTAAAAGCTTTTTTTCACTCATTTTAACAAAGGATATAAATTGTCTATTTAATAATTATAAATTAATAAAATATTAAACAATTATATAGGTAGGCCTACTATTGTTTATAAGTAAGTTTTAAGAAAAACAAAGCCTTGAGAATTCGGTAATTTTTATATCAATAATATTTCTACTTAATGTTATTTCTTAAAAAACCAAAACCTACAATTTCTAGAGATCTATTTTAATTAAAATACCATCTCAACTGCAACTGTTATAGACGAAAATACGAGATAAGCAAAGGGCAGCTTGCTCCTTCCTTCGGCCAACTTTAAGCCTGGTTTGGCTTTTTGAATGTCACAGGTGTTGAGATCATACACAAGTCACACATTTTTTATCACGGCTGAAGAAGTTAATCTAATCCTATGAGGGGCCAAGAATAGGACAAAAGCGTCTGTAGTCTATACAAGATTAAAGATAATCTCTCTCGCAACCTTCGTATTTTAGTCCAATAACCGTACCGTTACGCAGCGACAAAAATGATCACAGAATTGTACAAAGCCGAGCAACATCTTTAACCTTAAAAGCCGGATCTACAACAAATCCCCGATAACTTTAATATTCTTCTAACAGTAATCTCATCCAAAGCATTGACCGCTTGAATTATGAAGTTCCCCTTTCAGACTTAGTGCTCTAAAGTGCAGCTTATGTCAAGTTCAAATTGACCTCGGCATATGAAGGGATGGTGTGGCGATTTCTATGTCCAGCCGCTTTTTATTTTCCCTAACGTGAGTCAGGTACCTATGATATCTAAAAAATGTGTTGGTTTTTTTTACTTCTATAAACAAAATAAATGTAACTAAGTGTAAATATGTTGAAGATGTATGTGCGATTCATTAAACCCAGTGTTTCTTCCAGATTTTTTTCTCCTGGGAGGGGGCACTTGAACTTTTCGGGGGGGGGGGGTGGACTAAAATTTTCGGGGAGGGGGCGGACACTGAAAAGTATATATTTTCTATATAAAATTCAATTTTGTTCGGGGGTGCGGTAGACTTTCTTCGGGCGGTCTCTGCCCCCCCCCCCCCCCCCCTCAGGAAGAGATGCCTGGAAGAATCTCTGATTAAACCTCAAGGTAATTTATAGAATTTTGTCAAATTGCGCGTTGGCAGCGATGCAGGTAGTAGTGTAATACATATAAGTTTGGTATGGAATGTAAGGTAAGCGGCATGCGCAGCTGTTCGTAGTTTTGGCTTGCATTTCAATGCAGTTGATCGGTTTATGTAAATTGTGTCTGTAACCTCTCAAATGTCACCCACTATGAACCAAACCTGTTTCTTTATTGGTACCAAACTGTCAACAACGATGGAATCAGAATTAATGAAAAATTTTAAGAAGCACTTGTGGGGTTTTTTTTTTATAGTTTTTTTGCAGCATAGATTATTTTGTTTAACCAAATTATAAAAACGTCGTAATTGTTGAAGCTCAGGGTTCCTTCAAGCATGGGGCTAGTGGTTGCCGCCCCGGTGCTCCCCCCTCCCCCACCCAACCCCAAACACCGGCTCTGCAAACCACTAACCGTTCAACCAACGCTGACCAATCTATTTCAAAACCATAATAACTTTAAAATTTAAATAACCCTAACTCTATCCATGCCAATTTTTTAAAAAATACAAAAAAGTAAAAAAAAATAAAAAAGATAAAATAAAATAAAAAACATAACTCTGATAATTACCTACATTCAGGGGCGTAGCTAGGGGGGAGGGCGGGTGTGCGGACCGCACCGGGTGACACCATTTAGGGGGGTGACACCAAGGCAAAAAATAGCAAAATATATAGAGAAAAACTTGAGGGGGGTGCAAATCGAAAGTTTGAGAGGGGGTGGGGTGCAAATTTGAATTTGAAAATTTGTCCCCGGGAAGGGTCGCTACGCCTCTGGGGGGGGGGGGGGTGACACCATTAAGTGCCGCACCGGGTGACACCCGACCTCGCTAGGCCACTGCCTACATTCTATCCCTTTGGATACGACCACAGTACAAGCAAACCACAGCTACTTTCGTCGACAACTTAGCAGCATCCAACCTCGCCTGTACCAAAAAAATACACCAAAGGTCATAGACACCTTCCTGGTATGCTGCAAGAGATAAATCTTTTAAGCCAATCCCCGCATTCTACTCACACATTTCATCATCTTGATTCGTTTGCCCTCCCCCCCCCCCCCCCCCCCCCCCCCCCGTGGTGGCATACACTACGAAGCGAATCTGGTGATAAAATCAATCGACTCTCCCTATCCGCTAATTCTGACGCACTTCGATTTTTCCTTCCATATATAAACAGAGAAATGTCTGATCTGGTCTGTTTTCTGCTTGTTCTGTTTGAACCTTAAAGTTGGATGTGATTATATATGATTTAGTAAATTTGAATTATTCAGGAATCATGACCAAATACGTTCGAAAAGTCTTTCGTAGGTTTTATATTTACATCAATCACTAAACTTCATATTTAGTATTTTGGATTAGTTTAATAAGTTATAAATGATATTAGTTTTGAATTTTGCGGAAATATTTAAACTCTAATATAAATATTTTTTAAAAATATAATCTGTTCAAAAGTTTCAAACATTTCTTCGTGAATAACTTAAGAATTAAAAATCTAAATAGGTATTTTTATTTTAATTCCCTTTAATCGCCCATTTAAACATTTATCAGAAAACGCTCAATAAAGTATTTTTTCTTTTGGTTTCTATTTAGTGTTAAACATGCTTATAAGAAAAGAAAATAGGTAGAAATTAAGTTGATTGGAGTAGACAAATTTTATTTAATTCGACTCTCCGGAGGTGGGGTATTTGGGGGGGGGGGGGGATTTCTGAAAACCCCAAGAAGTAGGTTACTGGTGTCTAAATAAATCTAACTTACTCTGTTTCATTCATTTCATGTTTTAATGGAATTATTTGTTTCGTTGCTGTTTTTTTTATTTTATTTTTTTTTCAATTTCAGACAACCACTACTGTTTACTCAGACCTGTCTCCAGTTTGGTATCGAGTTTGTTAGTCTTTGTGGTCGGCATAGTTTTGATTCAGCAGTACTTAACAAACGACCATCGGGTTGAACTGACATTAAAGAAAGCTAACAGAAACAATGATCAATGGCATATCCCGTTCGCGAAAAATTTCACCTATACCGGAAATGTATCGAAAAGCGACGCTGAAGTTATGGCTTGCGTTTTTCCGGAGGTAGATTTGTATAACCCGGAAATTATGCGGCTTTCCGGTTTGGATGAGAAAACTATCGTCTGTGTCGGAAATTTACCGGATCTTACTTTTATCTTGGGCAGACAACTAACCGTCAACAAAACACAAGTTAAAACGATGGCCAACTTCCAACACTGTAAATACCGGGAAATTTTTGGCCAACCGAGAAACGACTCAAGCTTAATTTTCGGTGTGTGGAGTGAGCCTTTTGTAGAGGAGGTCACTCTTGGTCCAGAGGTGGAGTATATTTTAGTTGTCTGTGAAAATAACGCGTCGGAAATAGTGTCGAAGACGTATCATGCTTTGATTGCAAGGCGTCCGGAATTTGAAGAATTGGACATGCTCAAGTTAAAGAAACGACAGGTTGAAGTTTCGCCCAAGGAAACTCTCAACGTTATTATGATAGGTTTAGATGGCTTATCCCGGCACCAGTTCCTGAGATCGATGTCAATGACGCAGTCTTTTTTAAACAAGGGAAATAACACGTTCGACATGACGATGCACACACAAACAGGCACGAACACTTTTCCGAATTATGTCCCTTTGTTGACGGGAAGAAGCGATACTGAGATTGAACGGTACTGGAACTCAAAAAAACACTACACTGATGTTTTTGGTTTTGTCTGGAAGGATTTCATGGACGCGGGTTACAAGACTTTATTTTCCGAAGACGTGCCGTCCATCGGCGGTTTCCATTTCATGAAGAAGGGTTTCCTATCTCCTCCCACGACTTACTACACGCATCCTATATGTTTGGCTATAGAGCGCGATGAGAAAATATGGAAGGCGGGGAGGTATTGTATAGGCAACACTCCGGAAATTGTATTTCACTTCAATTATATAGAAAAAATGTTCGACACTTTTAAAGACGTGCCGTTGTACGCTATGGCCTTCATCACAAAACTCACCCACGGGGACATGACTTTATCTAAGCGGGTGGACGAACACATTTTAAACTTTTACACATCGCTGGAAAAAAAGGGCCATCTGAACAACACCCTGCTCATCACATTCTCCGACCACGGGCCCAGGTGGGGCTCAATCCGAGCCACGATGAACGGCATGGTGGAAAGCCGGGCCCCGTATCTGTTTCTAACCTTCCCGCAGTGGTTTCTAGACAAGTACCCGGATGTTGCCGCTAACCTAAAAACCAACACGCGTAGACTTACCTCTCACGTCGACACCCACGCCACGCTGCAGGATTTAATCTACTTCAAGGCCACAGGAAACGTTCCCATCGTCCCAGACAAACTCGGAATCAGCCTTTTCCGGGAAATTCCGAAAAATCGAACCTGCGACGACGCGAAAATTCCCATGGAATTCTGCCTCTGCAACCAAAACCAAATGAAGATGGTGTTCCCGAACAGCGCCATCTTCCAGAAACTCGCAGAACTTCTTTTAAAATCTATCAACTCTAAACATAACTCCAGCTACTGCGTGGAGCTGAGCCTGCACAAAGTTCTTCAAATCGTGGAGATCATGTTACCCTTCGTCGGTCGCGATGACAAGCGCCTGTATAAGGTCAAAGTTCAGACGACGCCCGGGGACGCTGTATATGAAGGAACCGTCAAGACCCCAAAAGTAGAGGAGTCCATTCTGTTAGAGTCTTTAGAGAAGATCGGCAACGGTACGAAGATTGAAGACGAGGGTATCAGCATGGGAAAGACCGTTGATAGATTGACGCTGTATAAAGGACAGGCAGACTGCGAGGTTGATGCGGCGAGAAAACCGTATTGTTATTGTAAAAATTTAATAGTTGTGTGATTAATTTCGTATTTATGTTTTTTTTTTTTTTTTTTTTTTTTTTTTTTTGACGTGGGCTTCATAGATCTAGTTAATTATTGCTATTTATCAATGTGATATGTATAAATTTCACATAGTAAAGTTAGTTTTCCTAATATGACGGTCTATAGGACAAGTAGAGTTTACCTGTTTCTGTTACCTCGGCATATGAAGTGATAGTTTGGCTTTGATCAACATCATGCCCAGTCGCTTGTTTTCATTAGCGTGATTTAGGTATGCTATATTATAAAAGTTTAATTATCTTTGTAACTAATATTTTAATTGTTCGGATTTATATATTCGTGTTGGATGTAAATATGTATTTACTGCGATTGGTGTTGTAATTGTAAAATAAAATATTAAAATTTTGGTTCTTTTATTGGTGGTAATTTTAGAAACGTCATTTTAGGATTTACTGTGTATTGCTAGAGCGAAGATTTGCATTTAAATTTTATTTGTATTCTAACAAAATTGTATAACATTTACAGAGAAAAATTATGTAGGACGAAGTGGTTTAAACTGTAAGCTAGAAAAACGTATAATTTCAAAAACCGAATCGACTTTTATCATGGATCGTTTAAAAAAAGTTTTTAATTTATAATTTGAATTTTTTTTTTTTTAATTTCCATAATAGACTTTAATTTTGCTTTCAAATAAATAACAAAACGATTTTTCAATTTCTTTTTCATTTAAAAAAATTAATTTGATACAAAAAAAGACCTCTGTAGACGATAATTCGTTACAAAATAGAGAAAAAAAGCCTCAAATAAAAAACTGTATTTAAGGCGTCGAGTATAATCGGATTAAAAGATTAGATTATTGATACGTCTGGACGTCAACCTTAGTTGTTGTATGTAGATTTATTAAGTCCTACTTCTGAGAGAGACGCACGAGATGGCGGCTTAGAGCTAATCGTATTAGTGGACTCAGTATTTTTTATTTTTTTTGTCTCTTCGATTTTGTCGGGGCGAAATCGAGAGCAACTAGGATGTTATTGACTGAGACAGCTTTGTTTGGGACAACATTGACTGGGAAAGCATTGACTGGGACAGCTTTCGTTGAGACAGCATTGACTGGGACAGCTTTGTTTGAGACAGCAGTAGCTGGGACAGATTTGTTTGAGACAGCATTGACTGGGACAGCTTTGTTTGAGACAGTTTTGTTTGAGACAGAAGTAGCTGGGACAGCTTTGTTTGAGACAGCAGTAGCTGGGACAGATTTGTTTGAGACAGCATTGACTGGGACAGCTTTGTTTGAGACAGTTTTGTTTGAGACAGCAGTAGCTGAGACAGCTTTGTTTGAGACAGCAGTAGCTGGGACAGCTTTGTTTGAGACAGCAGTAGCTGGGACAGCTTTGTTTTGGGACAGCATTGACTGGGACAGCTTTGTTTGAGACAGCAGTAGCTGGGACAGATTTGTTTGAGACAGCAGTAGCTGGGACAGCTTTGTTTGAGACAGCAGTAGCTGGGACAGCTTTGTTTGGGACAGCATTGACTGGGACAACTTTGTTTGAGACAGCAGTAGCTGGGACAGATTTGTTTGAGACAGCATTGACTGGGACAGCTTTGTTCGGGACAGCATTGACTGGGACAGCTTTGTTTGAGACAGCAGTAGCTGGGACAGCTTTGTTTGGGACAGCATTGACTGGGACAACTTTGTTTGAGACAGCAGTAGCTGGGACAGATTTGTTTGAGACAGCATTGACTGGGACAGCTTTGTTCGGGACAGCATTGACTGGGACAGCTTTGTTTGAGACAGCAGTAGCTGGGACAGATTTGTTTGAGACAGTTTTGTTTGAGACAGCAGTAGCTGGGACAGCTTTGTTTGAGACAGCAGTAGCTGGGACAGATTTGTTTGAGACAGCAGTAGCTGGGACAGCTTTGTTTGGGACAGCATTGACTGGGACAGCTTTGTTTGAGACAGCAGTAGCTGGGACAGATTTGTTTGAGACAGCATTGACTGGGACAGCTTTGTTTGAGACAGTTTTGTTTGAGACAGCAGTAGCTGGGACAGCTTTGTTAGAGACAGCAGTAGCTGGGACAGCTTTGTTTAGGACAGCATTGACTGGGACAGCTTTGTTTGAGACAGCAGTAGCTGGGATAGCTTTGTTTGAGACAGCAGTAGCTGGGACAGATTTGTTTGAGACAGCAGTAGCTGGGACAGATTTGTTTGAGACAGCAGTAGCTGGGACAGCTTTGTTTGAGACAGCAGTAGCTGGGACAGATTTGTTTGAGACAGCATTGACTGGGACAGCTTTGTTTGAGACAGTTTTGTTTGAGACAGCAGTAGCTGGGACAGCTTTGTTTGAGACAGCAGTAGCTGGGACAGCTTTGTTTGAGACAGCAGTAGCTGGGACAGCTTTGTTTGGGACAGCATTGACTGGGACAGCTTTGTTTGAGACAGCAGTAGCTGGGACAGATTTGTTTGAGACAGCATTGACTGGGACAGCTTTGTTTGAGACAGTTTTGTTTGAGACAGCAGTAGCTGGGACAGCTTTGTTTGAGACAGCAGTAGCTGGGACAGCTTTGTTTGAGACAGCAGTAGCTGGGACAGCTTTGTTTGGGACAGCATTGACTGGGACAACTTTGTTTGAGACAGCAGTAGGTGGGACAGCTTTGTTTGAGACAGCAGTAGCTGGGACAGCTTTGTTTGAGACAGCAGTAGCTGGGACAGCTTTGTTTGAGACAGCAGTAGCTGGGACAGCTTTTTTTCAGACAGCAGTAGCTGGGACAGCTTTGTTTGGGACAGCATTGACTGGGACAGCTTTGTTTGAGACAGCAGTAGCTGGGATAGCTTTGTTTGAGACAGCAGTAGCTGGGACAGCTTTGTTTGGGACAGCATTGACTGGGACAGCTTTGTTTGAGACAGCAGTAGCTGGGATAGCTTTGTTTGAGACAGCAGTAGCTGGGACAGCTTTGTTTGGGACAGCATTGACTGGGACAGCTTTGTTTGAGACAGCATTGATTGGGACAGCTTTGTTTGAGACAGCAGTAGCTGGGACAGCTTTGTTTGAGACAGCATTGACTGGGACAGCTTTGTTTGAGACAGCATTGACTGGGACAGCCTTTCTGAGACAGCCTTTCTGAGACAGCTCTGGATGAAGTAGTTATATAAGCATAGCTGCTGTTTGAAAAAGAGGAGGCAGATGTTGATAGGCGTGAATAGAGCAAAAGGCTTAGAGAAAATTGTTTAGAGAAAACGGCTTGGCAAAATATGTATATCACGATAACTAGAATCAATAACGGAAAAAAGGAGAATGGGCGTATTTTTGTAAGTTCGGTTATAGGGGGGGGGGGTAGTCTTCTTATTCTTCGTTCAAAATTGTAATCTTGACGGGATTTCCTCCGACTCAGTTAAGTATCGCGTGTCAGCCTTAACGCACCTTAAAGGCTGTTGACTCCGATCACATCCTGCTTTTCATTTAGATTCGCTTTCATAGCCCTTTGCCCTCCAAGGGCATACTACATGTCAGCATTTGTTTGGTATCTCCTAGATGGGTTGCTGTCCCCAGCTATCGAGCCTCATTGGCACGCTGTGTGGAGGGAGGTTGTGCAGCCTTGAACCCAGATTCGAACTAGCGCCCTACCGCTAGGCCACGGCGTCCCGTCATCTTTCTGTAGACTTCTAATCACGTTTTGTTGATTAAAAATACGCTTTGTATATAGCCAAACAAAAATATCTTTTCAATGCACCATATTTTTCTAAAATATAATTAGGTAAAATAATTGCCCTGCTAGTTGTCTTAAATATTCTAAAACTTATCGTATTTGATGGCCTAAACTAAATTTTAAATTTCAGATAGTCTTTACTTGAATCTAAAACGTTTACGTGAAGAAGCAAGTTAGTGTTCTCAAGAATTATTTATTTACCGACAACATAGTACATAGATATTTTCAAAATAGTATTTTTCATTAAAGCACATGAAGATGTACTTGGTTAACTACAAGAAAGACTACATCATACAGTTTGAATATAATTTATAGTGTGAATAATAATCATCAAATTGTCAATATTATATAGCAATCGCAACAAAAGCAAAAATATTATTAAACGACATATTCAAATTAAAAAATGTTCAACGTTAGACCATACGTCACCAATCCACACTAGACTGAGATAATACATAACCACTAAAGTGAGACCATACGTCACCACTCCCACTATAATGAGACCGTACGTCACCACTCCCCACTATAATGAGACCGTACGACCCCACTCCCCACTATAATGAGACCGTACGTCACCACTCCCCACTATAATGAGACCGTAGGTCACCACTCCCTACTATAATGAGGCCATACGTCACCGCTATAGTGAGACCATACGTCACCACTCCTCTTTACAGTGAGACCATACGTCACCACTCCCTATTAAAGTGAGACATACGTCACCACTCCCTATTAAAGTGAGACCATACGTCACCACTCCCCACTATAATGAGACCGTACGTCACCACTCCCCACTATAATGAGACCGTACGTCACCACTCCCCACTATAATGAGACCGTACGTCACCACTCCCCACTATAATGAGACCGTACGTCACCACTTCCCACTATAATGAGACCATACGTCACCACTCCCCACTATAATGAGACCGTAAGTCACCACTCCCTACTATAATGAGGCCATACGTCACCGCTATAGTGAGACCATACGTCACCACTCCCCTTTACAGTGAGACCATACGTCACCACTCCCTATTAAAGTGAGACCATACGTCACCACTCCCTATTAAAGTGAGACCATACGTCACCACTCCCTATTAAAGTGAGACATACGTCACCACTCCCTATTAAAGTGAGACCATACGTCACCACTCCCTATAAAAGTGAGACATACGTCACCACTCCCTATTAAAGTGCGACATACGTCACCACTCCCTATTAAAGTGAGACATACGTCACCACTCCCTATTAAAGTGAGACCATACGTCACCACTCCCTATTAAAGTGAGACCATACGTCACCACTCCCTATTAAAGTGAGACCATACGTCACCACTCCCTATTAAAGTGATACCATACGTCACCACTCCCTATTAAAGTGACACATACGTCACCACTCCCTATTAAAGTGAGACATACGTCACCACTCCCTATTAAAGTGAGACCATACGTCACCACTCCCTATTAAAGTGAGACCATACGTCACCACTCCTTATTAAAGTGATACCATACGTCACCACTCCCTATTAAAGTGACACATACGTCACCACTCCCTATAAAAGTGAGACATACGTCACCACTCCCTATTAAAGTGAGACATAAGTCACCACTCCCTATTAAAGTGAGACCATACGTCACCACTCCCTATTAAAGTGAGACCATACGTCACCACTCCCTATTAAAGTGAGACATACGTCACCACTCCCTATTAAAGTGATACCATACGTCACCACTCCCCACTACAGTGAGACCGTACGTCACCACTTCCCACTACAGTGAGACCTTACGTCACCACTCCCCACTATAGTGAGACCGTACGTCACCACTCCCCACTATAGTGAGACCGTACGTCACCACTACCCACTGTAATAAGACCGTACCTCACCACTCCCCACTATAGTGAGACCGTACGTCACCACTCCCCACTATAGTGAGACCGTACGTCACCACTACCCACTGTAATAAGACCGTACCTCACCACTCCCCACTATAGTGAGACCGTACGTCACCACTCCCCACTATAGTGAGACCGTACGTCACCACTCCCCACTATAGTGAGACCGTACGTCACCACTCACCACTATAGTGAGACCGTACGCCACCACTCCCCACTACAGTGAGACCGTACGTCACCACTCCCCACTATAGTTGACCGCCTGACTAGTCCCACTATGGGGATGTGTGTACAACCCATCCTGCCCCACTTTGTACACAGAGGCCCCGCTGCTCCCCGGACATGTACACGCTGTGTACGTGTACTTTGAGTACCTCGGCCAACCTCCCCGCACGTGCTTGCTCATCCACTCACCAACCGACACCTTTTTCGGACCTCCGTGGGGATGTGCCACTATAACGGTCAGTTTCCCCACGTCATCGACTCTCCTGTATCTCTCATCAACAGCTGACCAGAGCTGATCAAACCGCCTCCACATTGTGTGAAGTTTATCAACCAACTCCATATCGCACGTTACGTACTTAATCAAACACCCATCTCTTTCAACATCCGCCTCCACAATCTCCCACTTTTCAAGACATACAACAGCACTTTTCTCCTCCTCGTAGCCTAAAACACAGCACGTATTCCGAGCCTCGCTTTCGTCAAAAACCACATGACATGCCGTCATAACCCGGATTTTACCCCAAATTCTACTCGGCGCAGCAGATTCCAAACATCTTGGACAAGAACATGCGCCTTTAAATTTACTGTCATCCTCAGTGAACTTATCAACTCGCCACACCCTACCCGTGCCCACCCTCAATAATCCGCTACCCCTACTTCCATAAAACGGATACCTTACTTTTGTATTCCCGTAGAACTTCGGTCTCCCCATACTAGTAAATGTCACTTTGACTTTCACAGTTAAGGACGCCATTGTCTGAATCAGTTCATACATCATTGAATCCTGGTACGCCCCAGGAAGTGAATTTATAGTAAAATCCTTCACCGGAATAAAATCTTTATGTCCTGGATTCTTCTTGCATTCCTCAGCGTTTTTGTGTAAATCGGATTCCGGACCATGACAGAAATCAGCTTCGTGTTCGCCTGGTAAAGAAGAAAGTCTTTAGACATTTTTTTGGCAAACAATAACAGTTTTATAGTTTAAAATTATTACTTGTTGTATCGTCTGCAGCTAATGTTATTAATTAATTTTTTTGGGGGGTTTTGTGGTTATTTTTATGTTGTTTTTTTTTAAAATTTCAATACACTATAGAAAAAAATAAATTTTGTTAGAGGAAACATGTTTTTTTTATATATTTTAACAGTTAAATAATCTTTTGTAAAAAGACAAAAGGTCGAACATACATTTGGGGTAATTGATGAATGACGTCACTCTCCTATAATTTTATAACGATCGCTGAATAGTGGGTATGTATAGGCTCAGAAAGTAGTAACACGAAATACTTTTACATTTAAAATATATTTTTAGAATAATTGGAATTTCAGACGTTGTTTACAGATAAACGAGGTTTATGCACATTTTTCTATCAGAACTAAATAAATCATATAACGAAAAAAAAATGAAACTTTTTAATAAAGAATAATAATTCGAATTTCATGCGTAAACTTTTGCTAACAATAATGCTTGTTCAGTTGCTTCATAAGTCAAGTTATTTTATCAAACTGCATGATGGGTTATAATTTTTTTTTAAATTTACATCCCTGCTCATTCGCATACACACATACAAACGTACAGTAAAGTATCACGTCAATGTACCTAACCATGTCGATCTCTCTTCCATGGGTTTCGTTCTTGAGTTTCCCATGTTCCCCCAGATGTTGTCAAAAACGTTAGAGAGTTTGTTTTACAACTCTGAAGTGTCCTGACCTATCGATACATTAAATTCATTGAAAATTTGGTTTTAAAAATTAGTCTTATTCATGGATTATTTTATTTAAGACATAATTTTGCATAAAAAATTGAAGTGCAGCTATGATTAACAATTATTCGTAAACAAGGTTTACTACTACACATATTCGATCCCTGATTGTGTGTGTGCGTGTTGTGTATTAAATGACAGGTACCCGCCTTTGTACACAGTTGTAGCCGGTGGTTGTGTGTTGTGTTTTGAGTTGAGAAGTGTTCACGGACAGTTTGACAGTTGACGAGTAACAGGCGTATGTGGCAGTTGACGAGTGACACGAGTGTGTTACTGTGTGGCAAATGACGAGTAACGGTTCGTGTGTTTGTGTGTAGCAGTTGATGGGTGACAGGGAAATGTGAGGACGTGTTGTGGGCGTGGTGTGGACGTAGTGTGGACGTGGTTTGGACGTGGAGTGGACGTGGCGTGGACGTGGTGTGAGCGTGGTGTGGGCGTGGTGTGGGTGTGGTGTGGGCGTGGTGTGGACGTGGTGTGGACGTGGTTTGGACGTGGTGTGGACGTGGTTTGGACGTGGTGTGGGCGTGGTGAGGGCGTGGTGTGGGCGTGGTGAGCACGTGGTGTCGGCGTGGTGTGGGCGTGGTGTGGACGTGGTGTGGACGTGGTGAGAGCGTGGTTAGGACGTGGTGTGGACGTGGCGTGGACGTGGTGTGGGCGTGGTGTGGGCGTGGTGTGGGTGTGGTGTGGGCGTGGTGTGGACGTGGTGTGGACGTGGTTTGGACGTGGTGTGGGCGTGGTGAGGGCGTGGTGTGGGCGTGGTGAGCACGTGGTGTCGGCGTGGTGTGGGCGTGGTGTGGACGTGGTGTGGACGTGGTGAGAGCGTGGTTAGGACGTGGTGTGGACGTGGTGAGGACGTGGTGTGGACATGGTGAGGACGTGGTGAGGACATGTGAGGACATGTGAGGACATGTGAGGACGTGGTGAGGACATGGTGAGGACGTGGTGAGGACGTGGTGAGGACGTGGTGAGAGCGTGGTTAGGACGTGGTGTGGACGTGGTGTGGATGTGGTGTGGATATGGTGTGGAAGTGGTGTGGATGTGGTGTGGAAGTGTTGTGGATGTGGTGAGGACGTGGTGTGGGCGTGGAGTGGACGTGGTGTGAAGGTGGTGTGAGCGTGGTGTGGATGTGGTGTGGACGTGGTGTGGGCGTGGTGTGGACGTGGTGTCGGCGTGGTGTGGGCGTGGTGTGGACGTAGTGAGGGCGTGGTTAGGACATAGTGAGGACGTGGTGAGGACATGGAGAGGACGTGGTGAGGATGTGGTGAGGACATGTGAGGACATGTGAGGACATGTGAGGACATTTGAGGACATGTGAGGACATGTGAGGACATGGTGAGGACGTGGTGAGGACATGTGAGGACATGTGAGGACATGTGAGGACATTTGAGGACATGTGAGGACATGTGAGGACATGGTGAGGACGTGGTGAGGACATGTGAGGACATGTGAGGACATTTGAGGACATGTGAGGACATGTGAGGACATGGTGAGGACGTGGTGAGGACATGTGAGGACATGGTGAGGACATGGTGAGGACGTGGTGAGGACATGTGAGGACATGGTGAGGACATGTGAGGACATGGTGAGGACATGTGAGGACATGTGAGGACATGGTGAGGACATGGTGAGGACATGTTGAGGACGTGGTGTGGACGTGGTGTGGATGTGGTGTGGACGTGGTGTGGATGTGGTGTGGACGTGGTGTGGGCGTGGTGTGGACGTGGTGTCGGCGTGGTGTGGGCGTGGTGTGGACGTAGTGAGGGCGTGGTTAGGACATAGTGAGGACGTGGTGAGGACATGGAGAGGACGTGGTGAGGATGTGGTGAGGACATGTGAGGACATGTGAGGACATGGTGAGGACGTGGTGAGGACATTTGAGGACATGTGAGGACATGTGAGGACATGGTGAGGACGTGGTGAGGACATGTGAGGACATGTGAGGACATGTGAGGACATTTGAGGACATGTGAGGACATGTGAGGACATGGTGAGGACGTGGTGAGGACATGTGAGGACATGTGAGGACATTTGAGGACATGTGAGGACATGTGAGGACATGGTGAGGACGTGGTGAGGACATGTGAGGACATGGTGAGGACATGGTGAGGACGTGGTGAGGACATGTGAGGACATGGTGAGGACATGGTGAGGACATGTGAGGACATGGTGAGGACATGGTGAGGACATGTTGAGGACGTGGTGAGGACGTGGTGAGGACATGTGAGGACATGGTGAGGACATGGTGAGGACGTGGTGAGGACATGTGAGGACATGGTGAGGACATGTGAGGACATGTGAGGACATGGTGAGGACATGGTGAGGACATGTTGAGGACGTGGTGAGGACGTGGTGAGGACATGTGAGGACATGGTGAGGACATGGTGAGGACGTGGTGAGGAGTCGGGTGCTAGTGTAATAGGTTTTGTTGTATCGTGTTTTTGTGTCATTTGATATTCTTAATTAAAAATTTTTTATTTGCTATCACTATTTGTATTATCGAGTTCTTATATTTTGCAATAAGTCTTGTGTTGTCCTATACTAAATATATTTCATACAGAGAAGAAGCCGACAACATTCTAAATGTTTCTTGTAAACGTTTAGAAGCCTCCTATATATTTACATATAAATAACATTATACAGTATCATTTATTTTAAACATAAGAGACATTTTCATAATAATAATTAAATTAAAAACTCATATTTCAAATTATTAAGTAGAAAACACATACCTCTTCAAAACTTCGTTATATTTTTTAAACAATATAACATAATCGAAACCACAGAAAGTTTAGAGCAAGCTTAGAATATCCAAACCTGCCTTGGTTATAAACTTTTGATGCAACACACCGTGATGGGTGTCACCTCATTTAAAGCAGGAAATAGAGGTACTTGAACTGCTTTCGTTGGGCGAGGGAGTGTAGAAAAATGTATATGTAACTGGATGTAGTATATGGCGACACATTGTTAAACAACCGCTGTTTATAAATAAACATACACATACAAATATGGTGATGTAACTTTGTATACATGTATATATATATATATATATATATAT